CTCCCAGAATTCCCCAGCCAGCCATGCTGGCTGGGGAATTCTGGGAGTTGAAGTCCACACGGCTTAAAGTCGCCAAGGTTGAGAAACACTGCTCTAGAGTAACCCAAAATCAAGAGAAGCCTGGTTTTGCTTCCTTTGTGATTTGCAGAAGCCTTTTAATAAAATTGGTTAGTTTGAGTCTGAAATACCTACAATGGAGGAACGGTTGGTGGAGATGTCAGAATTTGCAGAGAGGGCCAAATTGACTTACTTGATTAGGGAAAAGACAATAACGACATTTATTAGTGACTGGAAACCCTGGATGGACTTTTTGCTGAAAATGGGAAAAAATGAATTTGTGATTTTGGGTTGATGATTAGAAAAGGTAGAATATGGAAAGAAGGGAGCCACGATGTAACCTTAGAGAGAGAGGATAAAATATAAATGTATTTATAATTGTAAAGAAGATCGGAAGCGACTTCTTTTTATTTTTATTTTTCTCTCCTTTTTTCTTTCATGTCTTTTCTGTTGACTTATCACTTCACTTTCTTTTCTCTTTACATTGGTATGGTTTTTACTTTGCAAAAAACTTCTTTAATAGAAATGAATTTAAAAATATATATATAAAATTAGCTAGTTTGAAAAAGCACTGCCAGATTCCTGATTTTAGGCTATCGGTTTCAAGGCAATTCAAGGTTCGTTCTTCTTGCCAAAATCTAGCAGCGGGAGTTCTTTAAAAAGGATGGAAATCTTTCAGGGCTGAAATCCTCTGACATGCACGGACAGGCGAATCTTGGTGCGGTGTGTTCTGCCACCGCTAACAGGGTGGCAAAATTTGCCCTGGGGGTCCCTGCAAGTTTTCTCCCTTTGCAAAAGAAAGTTGCTTTTTTTTTCTACCCCGTCTTCTGGAGTTGTTGCTCGTGGTTTCAAGTTGCTTTGGCAAGATGGTTGAAGTTGCGACGGACCCCAGGGGCTTCTGACTCTTTGGTTTAGCGATTACGGCTTTGCATTGTTCTACCGCCTGCTGCCTGTGCTTTCTGGAGCAGGAGTTCCCTTGGAAAACCTCCCTGTAGAGTAGGCTGAAGCTTGCACGCAGGTAGAGAAATGTAACGGCGCCATCGAAGACTGGACAGCCATCCGTGGACTGGACATGCTGGCTAGGAATTCTGGGAGTTGTAGGCGGTGCGCCCAGAAGATGCCAGTTCTCAAAAGGCTATTTCAAGCCAGGAATCATGGCTTATGTTTGTTTGAAGAAAGCACGGTGTGGGAACAATAGACCTGCTTTTCTTCTCTTGGCAGCATCTTCTCAGTCTTGTTTGACTGAGGCATAAACATAATAAAAAGAAAAGCTTCTTGAGCGTCTCACCATCCAAGGAGTGTGAGATAAATGGTGGGTTGGCGCAACATAGGACTATTCAGAGCATGGGTGAACATGGTTTTATGTTCACTCTCCAAGACCTAGGACCCAGATGAGTAAGAACTGAATGTGCATGTAGATAAATGCATATATTACCCACCTCCATCCACAACATCTGTTTCTGCTCCCCTTCCTCCCACCCCACGCATACCAGCTTTTGAGTCAATGCAGACCTTTCTTGACCTGGGTTTCCAAACATCCTTGCTTGGGGTGGGGTGCTCTATCTTCAGGAATTTCAGCCGGTCCAGTTTCTGAAATCTTTTGGGGAGGGTGGGGGGGGGGCAACTGAGCATAGATGCCAGCTTAGTCTTGATTTCTCCAGAAGGGGACGTGTTGGGGAAATTTTTATAACCAAATGGAGGAGGAACGTCTGAGGTCATGGACAAAGAATTTTCTACTGTAGAGAAGGACATGGTTAGGGACCTGGGATACCAGGTTAATTGGGAGAGTTGGAGTTGGACATCCTACCGGTCCATGGCTCATGTCACCAAAGGGATGTGTGTAGAGCAGTGTTTCTCAACCTTGGCAACTTTAAGACGGGTGGACTTCAACCTGGGGAAGGCTGGCTGGGGAATTCTAGAAGTTGAAGTCCACCCGTCTTAAAGTTGCCAAGGTTGAGAAACACTGCTGTAGAAGGTGGCCATGGGGGTGCAATCAAAGCTCTACCTAGTTTTTAGGTGCAATGTCACCATCTTGTTCAGTTTGACAATACCCTGGGGACACCCCTGCTCACTGTCATTTATTGGATTAATACCAGCGGGTGCCTTTGCAGAATGCCACCAAGCGTGAAGCAAAACCATCACACTACGGTTGAGTGTAGAGGATCCTCTTGAAGCGCTGGAGGGATGGGGTGGGACCCTGAATGAACCCCTCCACCCTAGGGGATGCTCAAGCCCCAGGAAAATTCCCAAGTGCCCCCTCCCCCCAACACTTTGGCCTCACCCAGTTTGGGATTTTGGCCCTTGAAACCCAAAGGTTGCCGTGGTCCTTAACCCAACCCAGGTTTAGCGTAATGTGTGAACACAGCGGTGGGATGATGGAATTGCAGTCAGAAAGTTGAGTGCTACTAACATTCATACTGTATCTTAAATTTTCCAGGTTTGGGTGGCTCGTGTGAATTGGTTTCTCTTTCTACTTGTAGGCTGCCATGATAAAGCCGTCCTGTTGTATGAGTACGTAGGGAAGAGGGTGGTGGATCTGCAGCACACAGAAGTCCCGGATACCTACAGGGGGAGAGGAATTGCAAAACATCTGGCTAAGGTATGGATTAGCCGGTTGCCCTTCCTGGAGGGGATGCGTGGGGGGGGCTTTTCTGCTTTCTCACTTCTAGGTTGTCCTGTTTGGAATACGCATACAAAGATTTACACAGTGCTTCTTAACTGTGGCCGCTTTAAGACGAGTGGACTTCAATTCCCAGAATCCCCCAGCCAGCAT